GTACCTATGAAAAAGGGACCTTGGGATCCTCAAGAGGACGCTATTCTAGTTTCCTATATCAACCAATATGGTCCGGGCAAGTGGAATTTGGTTCGCGCCAAAGGATTTGACTTAGCACGCTGCGGCAAAAGCTGCCGTCTGCGATGGGTGAATCACCTCCAGCCCAACTTAAAGAAGACACCTTTTACAGTGGTAAGCCCTCCTTCCTTCCCTCGACCCCTTACCGCCCCTACTTCCCCTCTGCAACCCCCTAATCTCCCTACCCGCGCTAGCCCTCCTACTCCCCTACTCCCCTACTCCTCCTCCTCCCGCTTCTTCCCCTTGTCCCTCTATTCCCTCTACTCCCTCTACTACCCCCCCCAAGGCCCCCGCTGGTTGTGTGCGTGCTCTCGGTTGAATAGTAGGCAGGTTGTGCAAGACTGTTTGTCTCGCGTCTAGAAGCTTCTGTGTGTGTTCCGCCTCCAGAATTTTGAGCCTGTGTTTCGCATCTAGAAGTTTCCCCTTCCTCTTTGACGCTTAACCCCTCCTGAACCCCTCCTTAACGGCTTCTTAACCCCTCCTTAACCCCTGCGTAACCTCTTCTTAACCCCTCCCTATCCCCTCCTTAACCCCTCCTTAAGAGCTCCTCACCCCTCTGTAACCCCTCCCTAACCGCTCCCCGAACCCCTCCTTAACTGCTCCTCATCCCTCCCTCACCCCTCCCTCACCCCTCTCTAATCCCTCCCTAGCCCTCCTTCACCCCTCCTTAACCCCTCCTTAACCCCTCCTTAACCCCTCGTAAACCCCTCCGTCACCCCGTTTTAACCCCACTTCTTCTCTATCGCCCTGCTGGCCCCTGAATTCTGTCCTCCTTTTCTTGTCGTCTCTCTCTGTTTTTTCTGCGTTTCTTTCTCCGAATCTCCAGTTGTCCCTTATGTTATTGCTCTCTTTTGTCCAAATGGGGTAGCTCTTAGCCACATTATATCTATCGTCGGGACTCGAACTTACGATCTGTTTGTTAGCAGTTACAATGTGTGCATCATTTTGCGGCTGCGGAATGACCGGTCTTTGTTTTCGTCCTTTTTCCCTCACATGGGCTGGTCTTATGTTCTTTTTCTCACTAAAAACGGAATGTTCTTGTTCTCGTTTTGTTTTGTACGTTCYTCCTCCTCTTCTGCCACGTGCACAACGACGACKYAGCCAGCTTCTGACTCGGCGATTGCGACGAAAAGACTTAGTGGCTCGCTGGGTGATTAGCTGCCCCGCTGTTGCTCGCTGGGTGATTAGCTGCCTAGCTGTTGTTCGCTGGGTGATTAGCCGCCTAGCTGTGATGACTAATTAGACGGGATCGATTCCTACCCCTGCCACACTTACGCTCCGCGTCGCAAGAAGAGCAGGCGAAGAGGGAAGACAAGGAGCGTTGCACTTGACTCCGGGCGTGCTCACACTCTCTGGATGTAATTGAGGTCCGAGGCATCCACGCATGTCCGTGAAAGCGGTCAGATGCGTCCAGGAAAGTCCTCTTCAAGTTGTGAGTATGTTTTGGCTATCGAGTTAGCTGGCCACGTATTGCTGCCTGAATATGGACCATAGCAGTGGTCGGTGGTTAATAGCGTACTCGGCCAACGAGGGGACGCGTGCGTCGCCCAAGAATATGAAGCGCGAACAGGCGCTGATGAATGAGAGCCAAGTTTCCTTTTTTTTTTTTTTTTGGGACAATTCTCCAATCTGTTCGTGGGGAGCCGCACGTCCTGGGAACAGAGAGCCGAGTTTCCTATTTTTTTCAAAAACGAAAAAGGGGCCACAGCCCTTTATATATCATCATTCAACAGACCGGCCCAAAGTAATTCACATTATTTTATTCTGTGAATTTCTGTCACAATGATTGCATGTCGATTCGAACTTGGGTCTGTCTTTCAACGGTTCATGGGCGCGCACCCACGGAGCTAGACCCGCTCGTAGAGCGGAGCTTCAACTTGCGAGCTTGCGACGCTCTTCAGATTGCTTGGTGAAGACAGTGATTGATTGATTAGGTGATTACGTGAATTATTGATTGATTAGGTGATTAATTTATTGATTTATTGATTATGTGATTAACTGCGTGATTGATTAGGTGATTATTTGATTGATGGAGTGATTAATTAGTGACGTGGGTCCGTCCTTAATTAGTGACCTGGGTCTATCCTTGTCGATCTCGGGCTCCGAGGAAACAAAGCGTCATTGGCGGGAAAAAGAAGTACGTGGCTGTGCTGGAAATTTCAAGAATACGCGGGGGGGGGAGAGAGCTGCGGTCTTCTAAGAACGAAGAGTATTAGTGCCAGGACCCAATGGTTGTTATGTGGCTGCTACGAAAGCATGAGCATGGTCATCATGTCGACTAGGTTCATAGCCTGCCAGTTGAAATTTTGCATGCGACTGGGTTTTTTACGGCATTGACGATCAATTCCCTCTTCTTTGTTTTTTGAATTCCTTGTAAAGTTTAGGCCTGAGAGTTCAGTTATAGCTAGCAAAAGGAGAGCGCGTCGGTAAGGGGGGGGGGGATAGGGGTTGAGTGATCGACTACCTCTCTTCATCCGTGGTTAGAATTTACGGTCATTTTCGTTGAATTAAGAAAGGAAGTTGGACCAAATACAGCCAACATAATGACCGTGCGTTCTATTCGAGAGGTTGACTAACTAGCTGATAAGATGCGGGCTACGACTGATTTCTTTGTGATTGCCGATATGGATCATTTGCATGGTAAGGTTTCACTTGCATGAGAGAGAGAGAGAGAGAGAGAGAGAGAGAGAGAGAGAGAGAGAGAGAGAGAGAGAGAGAGAGAGAGAGAGAGAGAGAGAGAGAGAGAGGACTATATTAGAGAGCCCAAAGAGCCGCCAAGCCACTTGCAACAAGAAGCCATCGCATCACCATCGATGTCGCTGCCTTTGTTGGCAATTGGATTCTGATATTGATTTTTTTTTTAATTTTTTCTTTTCCCGATTCCCAGTAAGCTATCTCTCGGAATTTATATGGAGAGTGCTATGTGGAGATTATAGCGGCACACGGGGGACGCAAACTTGTAATTGCGAGTACACCTGTTATTGTTGTTTATTTTACTACATTTATTATGAGATAATAACAGTTAACTATCATTAACAATTAATGATTATTATTATGAGATAGATAAATCATTAGCGTCGACAATTAACCAATCGTGATGCAGGACAAGGAGTGCAACTTCGCCGAGGCGGGGAGCTTAAGAAAAGAAAGCGAAAGAAAAGAAAGCGAAAGAAAAGAAAAGAAAAGAAAAGAAAAGAAGAGAAAAAAAAAGAAAGCGGTACGTTGGACAACGTCTAAAGAAAACTGTGCAAGAATAGGAAATTAAATAATAAATTTGTAGAAAAGCATATCATCAGAAGTGACAAACTAAGTGCCTCAAATAAAAAACAAAACCAAGAAAGTAATTGGCCTAATGTTCTTTCTTCCTGAGGGGAAAAAAAAGATAAAAAAAAAAAAACGACCGATTGGTTCATCCATAGTGTGGGATACGAAATGCAGATTTACGCCGATAGTTATCGTTGGGGGTTGTAGAGGAGGGTGGGTGCCACGTGGCAGGAATCGGACGCAAGTTGAGAAAAATTACTGTAGTATATGTTTATGTGAAACTATATACATGTATATATCGTCAAACAGAGCTGCCCGGTAAACAGTAGGCAGAGAGGGAGAAAAGGACAACAAACGAGGGTATATAAAACCACAGTCGGGGTTAAGGTGGATTATCACTTATAGTGTAATCAGTTAGGGGATTCTGCAGACTGTYGAGGGTTCAGCCTCCTGATGAGTCAGTGAAACTCCAACGAAACCGTTTGTCACAGCCCCTCGTTTGTTGTATTCTTCTCCCTCTCTGCCTACGGTTTACCGGGCAACTCTGTTTGACAATATTCTGTCACAGCCCCTCGTTTGTTTTACTCTACTCCCTCTCTGCGTATGGTTCACCGCCAGTTCCCTATGACGATATGTACATATATTTGTAGATAGTTTTATATATATATATTATATTTGACGATAGATAGATAGATAGATAGATAGATAGATAGATAGATAGATAGATAAAGTTTTATTTATGTTTATTGCTGATTGGTGATGTGTTGGTAAAGTGATTGATAACTGTAATAAATTGGTGTTTGCTGGTTTATATATATCTACTGGTGGCCACTGATTTGTATATTTATTTATTAGTTGTTGCATATTTAGATATTTTATTCGTGGTCGCTGATTGACAAGCACAACCTGGATCTTCTTCTTTTTCTTTCTCGGTGATTGGTGGCCCAAATATCGCTGTATCTAGACTGAACGTTGCTCCAAATACAGCTTTAATGACGGGGATTTGTCACAATGTGGCAAGATCGTAGCAGCGTCCGTCTCCTGCGCATACACACCAGTTAGTACCGACAGCCACTGACGGTAACACCCTTTGAATTGACCAACTTATAATCTGCACTGGGGGTGGTGGGTGGGTGGTTGGGGTGGGGGGGTGTAGATGACAACCCAGGTCGTGGCGTCTACCGCGGCCAAGACCGGTTAGGAGTTCGAGTCCTGAACTTGAATGATGCTCGTGGTTACCATCCAACGACTGACAAGTAATCTGCGCGCGCCGATGCAAACACCTGGCGATCGTGGAGGCTTCAGCAACGCCCGACATAGGGAAAGGGTTTGAATCCTGCCTAATTGAGTAGTGGAATCCTTTTGCCATGTCCTTTGGGACATCCATTAAAATTGGAATGGTATAGAGAAGGAAGATTAGCATGGCCCCTGCGCAAGGATGACACACATAACTCGAGAGAAACAGTATACATTCAGCCTTCACCCGAATAGAACGCCCGCCGAGACTGAACGTTGCCCCAAATACAGCTTTAATGACCTGGCGTTCTGTCCGCGCCGCCCTAAGTGAAGGCGGGCCCCCTGAATCTGAATGCGCCCTGAACTCGTCAATTTTTGCAAAACTTGGTTGGCGCCAGACGGTTGGCACGCGTTACATCTGCCCTGCACGTGAGTGGGAAAGATTCGTGAGTCTTCCACATTGCACTTGGTTGGGCACGCCGAACCAATTCCGTCCCAGGCGACTGTCTGAACGGGCCTGACACGGGCCTGGGCGCAAACAGTTTGGCCGAGACTGAAGCTACTGGAAACTCGGTCTCACGTGATTGGGGCAAGGCCAAAGCGCCCGCCACTTT